GTGGGAGTATTGCTATTCATGGTTTTTTATTTTTTATTTTAAGAGGTATTTCTACTCTTAAACGGTATGGCTACCTATAAACAGCTACTCTGCATGGTGCTGTACTGACCCAGAGCAAAGCGCTCAGCAACCAAGCTTGTGCGCAGTCTGTGGACAGCTTAGTTAGGCTCTGTGAGAGAAAAGGTACCTAGCGAGAGCTGCAGGGAACTTCTGCTTGTTGCGAGAAGAGGTTTTTGAAAAAACTGTCAGTGTAGCATCAGCCCTATATACAGACCCTTTCCAAAAAATTAGAATATCATGGAAAAGTTGTTTAACTGCCATAATTCCATTCAAAAAGTTAAACTGTAATAGATGATGATTCAGGACTCACAATTAAAACAATTTCACATATTTTATGTTTATTTTTACATGATTTGGGCTTCCAGCTCACGAAACCCACGAAAACAGGAATTCAGAAAATTAGAATACTGTGAAGAAATCTGCCCACATTACTTCTCAGTTTTTGCAGAAGAAAAAAAAAATAGGATCACAACAAATCAATCAAAATATGGTACTTTCAAAACGATATGTCAATCTTCAATACTTGGTTGGGAATCCCTTTGCCTTAATCACTGCCTCGATGCGACGTGGCATTGAGGCAATCAGCCTGTGGCATTGCCTGAGAGTTATGGAAGGCCAGATTTCCTTGATGCTTGCTGTCAGCTCTTCTTTGTTGTTGGGTCTGGTGCCCCTCCCTCATTTTCCTCTTGAAAATACTCCATAGATTCTCATTGGGGTTTAGGTCCGGTGAGTTGGCTGGCCAGTCAAGCACTGTGATGGCATGGGCATCAAACCAGGTTTTGGTACTTCTGGTGGCATGGGCAGGGACCAGGTCCTGCTGGAAGATGAAATATACATCTCCATACAAATCCTCAGCAGAAGGAATCATGAAGTCCTCTAAAACATTCTGGTAGACTGTTGCAGTGACCTTGGAATTAAGAAAGCAGAGTTTACCAACACCTGCACTGGACATTGCACCCCAAATCATGACTGACTGTGGATATTTCACACTGGACCTCAAGCAATATGGGTTCTGTTCCTCATCATTCTTCCTCCAAACAAGGCACACTTTACTTTCATCTGAAGAGGACCTTGGACCACTGGCCAAGCCCTTCTTCTCCTTGGCCCAGTTGAGATGTTTCCTATGTTGGCTCAGGTTCAGAAGTGGCTTGACCCAAGGAACCTGACAGTTGTTGCCCATCTCATGGATGTGTCTGAACGTGGTGGGTTTTGAAGCTGTGACTCCTACCTCATTCTACTCTTTCTGGATCTCTACCAAATTCTGGAATCTTCTCTGTTTGATAATCCGCTGAAGCCCACGGTCAACTCTTTTGCTGGTGCATCTTCTCCTGCCACATTTTGCCCTTCCACTAGACTTTCCATCGATATGCTTGGACACAGAACTTTGTGAACAGCCAGTCTCCTTAGCTACGAACTTTTGTGGCTTGCCCATCCTATGGAGGGTATTAATGATGGTCTTCTGGCCAGTTGTTATGTCTGCAGCCTTCCCCATATTGAAACAAACTGAGACAATTGAACCAAATTGAAGCAATTTAATGACACCTGGGGAAACCTGTGCAGGTGCTTTGAGTTTAGTAGATGATTAGTATGTCACACTCAGTTTAAAACATCCATGCTCTGCTAAATTTGGGGTGAATTCTCCACAGTATTCTTTTTTTTCTTCTTTCCTTCTTCTTCGTTCGGCTGCTCCCTGCATTAGGGGTCGCCACAGCGAACCAAGTCGCACGAAGTCTTGGCAGTTATTTTTATAGTATTCTAATTTTTTGAAATCCCGTTTTCATGGGTTTCATGAGCTGGAAGCCCATATTATGTAAAAATAAACAAATAAATACTTTAAATCATTTAAATTGCGAGCTCTGAATCTATCATCTATTAATTATGAACTTTTTGAATGGAATTATGGAAGAGACAACTTTTCCATGATATTCTAATTTTTTGGAAAGTGTCTGTATATGGGGGCCGAGATGGGGTAGAGGCAGGGCAGCCAACTCAGGACCCCAAAGTCCCAGGCTCGATCCCCAACCATTCCCACATGTCATGGTGTCTCTGAGCAAGACACCCAAACCCCAATTGCTCCCCGGGCGTCTACACAGCTGCCCACTGCTCCACCCGAGTGCATCCCAGGTGTGATGGGTTAAATGCAGAGAGCCAATTTTGTATTTGTATGGGAACACACAATGATGACAACACATAGAACTTTATTATTTATTTATATAGGGGGCTGACCTTTCCCTCAATGGCACAGGCTTATTCCAGCTAATCCTGGTTGGTATAATGTAATAGGAGCTTCTGAGGAGGTCACGCCGAGGGCGTTCCCAATGTGAGACACAAAATGAATGCTAAGAAAGAGAACTTGCGCTACTTGGGTTCGTTCTCCTTAACATATTTCTTCTTTCAAGGTATTCTCTATAACACCATCAGCTAGACTTTTCAAATCTCAGTGTACATGGCAGCTACACTGTTCAAACGTTGATGTAACGTTAAACTACCAGTGCGCAATACAGACATGCTAGCTGATTCATGTAAATTACATATTTTAGTTTGAAATTGGCGAATTTCATTGAAAAGCGTCAAATTTGAAAATATACTATATGCTAAAATTATTTGGAGTATTTCTACTTTACATTTGCAGATCTTAGAAATGTGCCAGATCATCTTAGCTGGACTTATTTCTCATTTTGATAACCTTACCTTCCAATTCTAATTTCATATTGTGGCAAAATTATCTACTGCTTTGTTTTTCCATGTTTATCTTAATATAATGTCTCTGGTTTTCCTATGAAATAGTAAATTACATGTTATAAAGTCACTGTCTTGTCAATGTTTAGATTTCTGCCTTACTTGAAAAATGAAAAAAAAAAAAGAAAAACTTTAACAATAGCTACTTTTTGTTCCTTACATTACCCAAATCTCTCTTTACTCGAGACATTTTATGTATCCTCCACCCTCATTCGCCCCACTCTGGGCCCATGAGCAAGGCCCTTAACCCCCACCATGTGCTCCCTAAAAAAACAGGTCTCTCTTGAAAATGAGTTCTCGTGGCTCAATGAGACTAACCTGGATACATAAAGGCTAAATGAAAAAAAAAAGAAAAACTTTAATAGCTACTTTTTGTTCCTTACATTACCCAAATCTCTCTTTACTCGAGACATTTTATGTATCCTTGCTAGGGCTGAGTACCGAACCGAGGTTCTTAAATGGCACCCACCAAACTGCACTGGTCAGTGTATGGATTGAAATGCCACTCTTTTTTCATTGTCAAGTTTCGGTATTGGCTTTAACGTGTCACGTGGTTTCAGCATGCAGGCAGGTAAAACACCAGACATATGACAAACAGACTATGTGTTTACACCCAAAGCTGTATAGAGCTGCTATACATAATCTATGTATAATGTATGTCAATGGTGCTGGTGACGCCCAGACGGGGTTCACGTGTGCAGTGCGTGTGTTGTCGAACGGCTTCGACAACACACGCAACTTTATACTTATGAGCAGAAAGTTGCTCCGTGTTTTTCTGCAAGAAGAGAGACGGACAGCAGCCTCCCCTCCTCCTCTCAGCATTAAAGTCAGCCTGTGAGTGTTGAACAGACTGAATCAACATTCCACGGCCCGACTCCGCGGAGCTATGTCTGCGTTTCAGCTGGTAAGTTTATGTTTGTTAATGTTATTGCAGCTTAACACGTGCATTGCGATGAATTAAACTAGAATCCATGTAACGCTAACTTTAAGATATTAGTGTGTAAATTTATTTTATCTACGTAGCTAGCTAAACTCAGAAGCTAACTAAAGATTGACAGTAATAGATGAAGCTTAGCTTGTAAAACTGTGCTCATCCATCAGATCAGCTGCTTAAACAGTTCAGCTAATGTTCACCGTTTGTTTATGTTCTCCTCACAGGAGGTTCTGACCCAGATGTGAGGAGGACAGAGACTCACAAAATAAAAGTGAGGTGGGGGGCCACAGGACAGTCACAAACTTTGTTGTTAAAAGTTTGCTGCCTTTTTCTACAGTGGAGGCTGCATGGTGGAGGTAAGTAAACTTTAAAGGAGATTGTTGACGGTTAAGCTTTTATTTCTCAGCCTAGATAATGTTTTTTGAGCAATAATAACACAACCATGTTATTGTTTAGACACAGAGGTACAGAAGTCTGCATCAATACTAACCTCTGTGAATCCAGTGACCTGCTGGTGGAATGTGAGGGACAATATGTCAGTGCTATCAAACTGACAACCAGGTATCTGTGTGTGCCACAAGCATCATCCACACCGTCAGAGTGAACACTTCCTACTGCTGGAGACACCATCAGCGAGGAGTGGGCTTGTTTGTGTCCAGAGAAAGCAGACGTGTTGATTTTTCTGAAGAAAAGCTGTTAAGTGAAAAGGTCCTCAGCGTGTAGCAGTGAGCATTAGATACTGATGTGTCACTGGTTTGCAACTGTTCTTTTGACCTGAAAATTATTTGTTTATTTTTATGTAAGAAAACTGCTTGGAATAGAAATACCAAAGTTAAAATATAAAACTCACAATTTGTACTGTAATGTGTAACGTAATTTTATTCTTGTTAGAATTAATAGTAATTACAAAATTAGTACAGAAAAAAGAACTGTCCAGGAACCGACACCGAAGTGAAGGTACCGACACCGGTACCGATTTTTTTAGAAAGGTACCCAGCCCTAATTGCATACTATGAACGTATTATGATTTTAGAAAGTGGCTGCTCAGCTAAAATGTAATTACAAGGGGTCTGGTTCTACTTGACTTGGTGGTCAAGCCCTCGTGTCTGTTGAACTTCCATTTTTTGGAGTTTTCAGCTTATCTTATTTGCAGTTGTTTTGGTGTTTTTATTGTTTTTGGTATTTGCAGCATTTTCCCTATTCATTGGGTTTTTTGATTGTGCGTTTCTTCATCTATTTTCTGTGGTTGCAGATTTTTTTCTGTTGCTTTTTTTTTTTTTGGAGTTTGCATCATTCCTGGGTTTGCAACACATTTTAACTGTTTACTGTGCGTTTGAAGCTCATTTGCACCTGTCACCCACCATGGAGGCAGGACTCCTCAGCGACTCTAGCCATGAAAGACGTAACTCTTCTAGGGTAAGATGAACTAGACTTTTACAGAAGATCTCTTATAAAACAGTGAACCACCATCTACTAGACAAATATAAAAATCGAAAGTTTGATAAGAAAGGTACAAATAAAAAACATTACTGAAAGGAATGCATTATTTTATGATAAGATAGGCAATTAAAAAAGATAAAACAAAGGTTATTATTCACAGCTAAACTGCTTTCCTCTGGTGTGGATTCCCATGTGTCTGTTTAAATGTGACTTCCGTCCAAACCTTTGTCCACAAAGATCACAAGCAAATGGTTTCTGTCCTGTATGGACTATCATGTGTGTGTTTAAAGTTGACTTCAGTCCAAACCTTTGTCCACAAACATCACAAGCAAATGCTTTCTGTCCTGTATGGACAATCATGTGTCTGTTTAAATATGATTTGTCACTAAACCTGTGTCCACAAAGATCACAAGGAAATGGTTTCTGTCCTGTGTGGACTATCATGTGTGTGTTTAAAGTTGACTTATGTCCAAACCTTTGTCCACAAAGATCACAAGCAAATGGTTTCTCTCCTGTATGGACTATTATGTGTCTGTCTAAATGTGACTTCCGTCCAAACCTTTGTCCACAAAAATCACAAGCAAATTCTTTCTGTCCTGTGTGGACTATCATGTGAGTGTTTAAAGTTGACTTTTGTCCAAACCTTTGTCCACAAAGATCACAAGCAAATGGTTTCTGTCCTGTGTGGACTATCATGTGCGTGTTTAAATGTGACTTCCGTCCAAACCTTTGTCCACAAAAATCACAAGCAAATGGTTTCTGTCCTGTGTGGACTATCAAGTGTGTGTTTAAATGTGACTTATGCCCAAACCTTTGTCCACAAACATCACAAGCAAATGCTTTCTGTCCTGTATGGACTATCATGTGTGTGTTTAAAGTTGTCTTATGTCCAAATCTTTGTCCACAAACATCACAAGCAAATGCTTTCTGTCCTGTGTGAACTATCATGTGTCTGTTTAAAGTTGACTTATGTCCAAACATTTGTCCACAAAGATCACAAGCAAATTGTTTCTGTCCTGTGTGAACTATCATGTGTGCCTTTAGATTACCTTTTCTGTTAAAATTTTTTCCACAGTCTTCACAACTAAATGAGTTCTGTCTTGACTGTTTTTTCTTGATTGAGTCTCCAGTTTTCTTAACTTCAAAACATTCCTTCATAACCAAACAATTTGAAGACATCAATGACTGACTTGTCTTGTGAAACTGTTTCTCATGCTCACTGAAGCTGCAAGACTTCTTGACAGTGTGTACACCTGATTCAGGAGCTCTGCTCTCCTTCCAGTCTTTGTCATCATCTTCAGGTTCTGATCCATAGTCTGATAAGTCTTTTAGCTGAGATTCAGAGTCATTTATATCATCATCATCATCATCATCACCACCATCACCTTCATCCTCTTCCTCACTGACTTCAGTCTCTGAAGAGCTGCAATCATCTCCATAAGTATTTAGATTTGGGTTCCTGACAGTCTCTAATCCTCCACAGTCCTCTCCACCAGTTGCTGCTTTCATCTCATCAACTGAGCTGCTGGTTGGGAGATCTTCCTCTTTTACTTGGTGCTGATGAAGCTGTAAAAACAGAAGTTTATGTTCATCTTCCTCACTCTTCAAAGGAGCAGCAGTGAATGCAAACCCGATGTCATCGGTCTCATTTTTCACATAAAACTGGTCTCCCTCTTGACTGGTCCACAGTTCCTCCTCTTCCTCCTTTATGTTGAGGGTATCTGGATCCTGTTGGTCCACACCAAGCATCTGTACTTCAGAAGCTGTTTCTTTAATCAGCACCATCTGCTGAACATCTGCAGGGAACACCAAAAACATGAACATCAGGCACAATTATAACTTTATATTCACACATACAGTGGTGCTTGAAAGTTTGTGAAACTTTTAAACTTTTTAAATTTCTGCATAAAATGACCTAAAACAACATCAGATTTTCACACAAGTCCTAAATGTAGATAAAGAGAACCCATTTAAACAAATGAGACAAAAATATTATACTTGGCCATTTATTTATCGAGGAAAATCAATCAATATTACATGATTTTTCCTGAGATTTGTCAAGCTGTTTGATCAATAATGAACGAAATTAAATTAAGTTAACAAGAGCAGTGTTCACATTCAACCTTAATACAGGTGAGGGGTTTAGGTTTATTTTTAATACGCTGGACCCAATGTATGTTATTCCTTCACGTAGATTTTTTTTTTTTGCAATAATGCAGCTCCACAACTTCACCATCAAACAACAAATGGGAGAAGCTCTGATGCAGCTGCACCTCAAAGGTTACCATTATTTCTCATATTATACTAAAACTTAGACAAGTTATACAACAAACTTAATGTAATATGTCTTTTTAACAGGTTGAAGAGGCCAGATGAGACACATCGCCTGGAGCCAGTTCTAAATGATACAGTTTATATGGTTTATAAATTATAGTTCAGAAGAGGTTTTTGTGTAAAGTTGCATGGGTTTTGAAATTTTCTTAAAGATTTACCAAATATGAATCATGTGAAGTCTGTATATTTCATATTAGGTTAAGTTTTCAAAATATAACAAATGTTAGAGCAATATGGTAAAAAACAAACAAACTGTGAAGTCTGTATTTTATGTTGAGTTAAAGCAGTCCTTCTCAAATAGTGGGGCACGCCCCCCTGGGGGGGGCCCGGGGCAATGCCAGGGAGGGCGCATGTGACCCTAGAAAACATACATTTTTGCCGCAGGGAGGAGTTTTTTTTTTTTTTTCACCATTCTCATTTTGTCGCGTGCGTTCCTAATAATAAAGTTATGAACAAATATGGCTGCCTTGTGGTTTTGGGAGCCATGCATGGACCGTGTCTCTCCCTTCTGCTGCTGACATGATAAATAAACTCCGACCGTCACCTCCTCCGCCCTCCGCTGCTGTTTTTATGTCCATGCGCTCTGGACGTCACTCACAGCATGCATGCAACAAAGAGTAAACTCAAGCGAGAGCGACACCTGCCCTCTTTTTCCTCTTTTGCGTTGACAAAATGTTTTAGTTTTATCGATGAGTTTGTTAAAGCACAATTTACAGAAGTAATGTTTAATAAATGTTAGGACTTTATTCTTTGCTAACAATTAATTCACCTCCTCAGTTAAGCTGCTGTTTTTTTGATGATCTGGACGTTTGTCACCCACAGCACGCAGGAGACAAAGAGTGAACTCAAAGTGAGAGGGTTACCTGCTCCCTCTTTCTTCTTTCATGTTGACATTTTTTTTGTTTTATCGATGAGTGCTCATTGATACTGACTTCCTCATTTTGATAAAAAATAAAATAAAAGCAGCAAAAATTGTTTTATTCATTTTTGTTTTGTAGGTCAAAGTGTTTTACATAACACTCCTGAGTTAAAATGTTGCTGATCAATTTGAATTTATTATTATTTATTGATTATATTTAATTTTATTTTTCAGTATCAAATGGTCAAAAATGTTTACAGTTTAAAAAAGGATTTTTTTCAGGCATATTGATGCACTTTAAGTTGTTTCTGTTACAGACTCAAAAAAACAATGTTAATAGTTTCCTGATGCACGCTCAATAATCCAGGTAGAAAAATCCAAGAAAGTTCAATCTGGTCCTCTGGACATTCAAAAAAACAAAACAAAGCAAAAAAAAAAAATGTTTTGAATGTCCAGAGGACCAGATTGAACTTTCTTGGATTTTTCTACCTGGATTATTGAGCATGCATCAGGATATTTTGAATCACTTTGGCCAGGATTGCCTCAAACTAGTAAGAGAGTTTGAGAAAACAGCAAGGAAGAGGGCAGACTACAGGAACCACTTGCGATTCAACCTCAGATGTCGACAAAGTGGCATCATTCCCAAGAGCCTGGAGCTAAAATCATCGGTCAGCGGGCACCGGGCAAGAAAGATCCTTCAGAAGGCACAGACCCAGCTGCTGAATGAACGGGTGAGACAGACCAATTTTACTATTGAGGCCTTGAAGGCCAAAGAAGAGCACATTAAACAGAAACTAACAACGTGTCTAGATCAGACCACACTTCAGCAAGTGTTGGACTGTACAGATCAGGCACGCTTAGCACAGCATGTCAAGTCCAAGACTCGACAACAAAAATAAGTTTAACTTACTAATAACTCATCAACACCATCACTATTCCAATAACAACACATTCAGTGTAGGACAACACTCCTGTAGTCAATTACATGCCAGGGAGACAGAAAAGTGGGTGAAGAATTTATCTGACAGACAGCTCACCCAGCCGGAGACAGAGATTCTTGCCAGGGGACTGAACTTTGCGGTTGCACCAAGTAGAATTCCTCTGGTGGAGATGATCACAGCCACAGAATCAGCCATCCGCAACAACAAAATGAAAGAGGCTGAAGCAGAACAGCTCAGAATCAAAGTTTCAGCCTGCCTCAGCAATGCCAAACCACCACCTTCCAACATCAGCAGAGAGGAGAGGGATGCACTCACCACTCTTAGCAAGGACAAAAACATCATCATTCTCCCAGCAGACAAAGGAAGGTGCACAGTGATTTTGAACCAGAAAGACTATCATGAGAAAGTTATGACACTCCTTAGTGACTTAACCACTTATGAACCTCTGAAAAGAGATCCAGGAAGTGGTTACAAGAAGAAGTTAATAGATTGCCTGAAAAATTTGGAGCAGGACAAGGCTATTGACCGCTTTCTGTACCACAGACTGTACCCAGAGGAGGCCACACCTAGTCTGTATGGTTTACCTAAAATCCACAAACAAGGTGTACCTTTAAGACCTATTAATAGCATGATTAACTCTGTCACTTACAATGTTTCCAAATATCTGGCGTCTGTACTCATCCCTTTAGTTGGCAGCTCAGAACACCACATACAGAACACCATGGACTTTGTGGATAAGGTGAGGGATGTCATCATGGAGACTGATGAAACAATGGTCTCTTTTGATGTCACATCACTCTTTACGTGCATTCCTGTTGATGATGCAGTAGAGGTGGTCAGTTTAAGATTAAAATCAGACACCACTCTGAGCAGCAGGACCACGCTTTCCACAGAACAACTG